CGTTCCGTCTCGTCCAGAACGGACGTTCTGGCAAGTGCAGAACGGACGTTCCGGACTTGCAGAACGGACGTTCTGGAGTCGTCTTCAACCTCCAGACTTCGCGTTTTCTTCTGCGGACCTAGAACGGACGGTCTGACCTCAGACCGGACGTTCTGGTCCTCGGATTTTCACCAAAATACACAAACATGCACGATTCACTATGGGTATAACATTAAAACTCATAAAATTGCATGCACAACACGAATCAAACATCAATTTCTCACAAAATCACTCAAAACCCAAAACCCCATGTCTAACAGACTTCCGAATTAAACTCGAATTCACTCACCTCGGGTTAAGCCCGTGTTATGGGTGTTGAATGGGAAGCTTGGGGATGTTCCTCTTGCTCTGTAGAACCCGATTTGAGCGTCAATTGTTCGGATTTGAGAGAGAATTTTCGGTTGGAAATGAAGAACATGTGAGGGAGAGAGAAAATGGCGATTTAGTTCGGATTAGGCCAAATTATGACACGAATTCGGACCCAGGGCGGACTAAATCGTGCACAAAGTCAAAAAGTCGGGATTTTCTGGTCGGATTAGTGCATTCGGGTCGCTTTCAAGTCGGTCCGGACGAAAGTCGTCGTTTGGTCGTTGCCGACACTCTGGTCCGTCCGTTCTGCGGTCTGGAACGGACGTTCCGGACTGCGCGAGCGGTCCGTCCGTTCTGGACAACCCAGAACGGACGTTCTACTTTCGCTTTTCTTTATTTTTCTTTTTTTTTTTTTTTTAAATTTGGGTTGTTACAGTACGTGTGTATATATCGTGTATATGGATATGTATATGTGTATATATGTGAATGTATGTGTATATGTGTGTGTTATGTATATATATGTGAATGTGAATATGTGTATGTGTATGTATATGTGTAAGTGTGTATGTGTGTATGTATATGTGTATGTGAATGTGTATGTGTGTGTTTATGTATGTGTGTTGTGTATATATGTGAATGTGAATGTGAATGTGTATGTATATATATAAATGTGTATGTGTGTTTATGTGATGTGTATGTGAATATATATATATATGTGTGTGTATGTGTATATGTGTAATATGTATGAATGTGTGTTTATGTATGTGTGTAATGTATATATATGTATGTGTATATAAATTTACATGTGTATATATATGTGTATGAATGTGTGTTTATGTATGTGTGTATGTGTATGTAAATTTATATGTGTATATATATGTGTATGAATGTGTGTTTATGTATGTGTGTTTGTGTATATGTATGTATATATATATGTATATATGTAAATGTATGTGTATGTGTATGTGTATATATATATAAATTTATGTGTATGTGTGTAATGTATGCATATATATGTATGTGAATATATGTATATGTGTATATATGTATAATATATTATTTTTTATATTTTTTTTAAATTAAAAAAATATTTGCGTCGGATTTTTCTGTCGCAAATCCGTAGTAAACGTAGATTTTTTTATTTTTTTAAAAATATTAAAAAAAAGATATTTGCGATGGATTTTTCTGTCGCAATTCTGTCGCAAAATGTGGATTTTGTCCGTCGCAACTTTCCGACAGATTAATGACCGACAAACTTTTGCGACAACGATATATGGACAAAAATAATTCTGTCGCAATCTGTCGCAAATTTGTAATTGCGACGGATATTCTTTTGTATTTGCGACAGATTTGTCTGTCGCAAATTCTGATATTTCTTGTAGTGAGCTCTGGACCAATCCGGGAAATTTGTTTAG